CCAGGAGGCGTCACACCTTGGAGGGTTCCTAATCTCATGGGGGCCGCGGTGAATTCCATGGTCTGGCCTCAAGTTGAGCTCCGCCGGCTTCCAGACCCAGGATTCCTGCTCCAATGGCTCCTTCTCGAATGCCCTGGCCGTAGATGGAGGAAGACACAGAACAGGACTCGAAGGAGAACCAACGGCAAAAGCATTAACTTTTGCCGATTCGCGCGGATGTCTGGGATCCGTGCCAGGCCCCCCCATGGCGGCGGAGGGTCGGAGGTCCAGCGCAGATCCAAAAAATCTGCACGGAACGCCAACAGTTATGTTTTGCCGGTTTTGTTCTTCTAAGGACAATGCTTGATTGCCCAGCGTTGGCGAGCGCCGAAGGGAGTGCGACAGCGCGCGTAGGCGACGCTTCCAGCAGTCAGGGTGAAGCATTCAGTCTATGATCTGTCGTGGAAATCCTCTGTGGCGCGACGGTTTGGGGAACGCCTTTTGAACGAACGCCCCGTTGTGATTCGCGATGTTGGCGGGGGCGAGAGCAAAGAGGACCTCCGTCGACGGAATAGTTGGAGATCCGTCACGGCCACCCGCAAAAGGCCAGCGACGCCTTCGCGGCGGTCGTCTGGTCATGTTGGGGCAAGGTTCATCTGGACGAGGGAGCCTCGAGCAGAAACGGCGGACTCCATGCGCCAGGGGGGCGTTTCCAGTGAGCGACGTGCTCTTCCACGCAACATTGACGGGATGCTGGCGGTAAACCGTTAACCTGGTTACCGCCAGGGGCCTCGTGCGCAGTGCTCCTTGCTTCGACAACTGCGCCTGCATTCTCTGCAGCTCACCCTGCAGCTCGAGCCAATCCATGAGAGAAGTGCCCTTCCACGCAACGTCGACGAGTGTTCAGCATCCCGCGCGTGGGGCCGCGTTCGCCGGGCAGCGTCGGAGTCCTCCTCGGTGGCCGTGGCCACGTGCCGTGAGACGGCGGCCGGCGGCTGGCCCATGGTGCGGTGGTGCGCGGTGGCCGCGCTGCGGATCCTAGTGTGGCTTGCCGAACACTGCGGATCATTGGGGGCTTGCGGAGAAGGCCCAAGCCGCAAAGCTGTGGAGATCGGTGTGCTTCTTCGCGTGCGTGGCCGAGAGTCTGATGCTGCACGGGCGGAGTTCTGAGCACAGGGTGCGTGCTCACGACGTTTGGCTCTGCGGCAGCGAAGTTTTCAGTGGCACGCAAGAAGCACAGTGCTGACGTGATCTTGCCACGGGCCCTTCTGACGAACCCTCATCGGACCGCGTGTGCTCGATTTTACCATGGCGGAACGTATGATGGAAATGTAATCACAATGTTGGTCGTGGTATAGACGATCGTGGCATCCATTATGATTGCACAGCTGTTGTATCATAACCTGATAGCGCGACAACGGGCACGTACCATGGTACAAGGGTGGCCGAACTTGTTCATGCCGGTGGCATAAAAAGATAATTTCGTAAGAGCTGATGCTAATCTTGGCGAACCGGAGCTCACAGATAATGCCTGCCTTTGTCTTCCGTATAACATGAAGGCCACGGGCTTGGTATTCAGCGAGTGGAAGAATCCGCGATCACACCATCGCCCGGCGAAGTGACTCAGTTTGCGCAGTGTGCCGCCGAAGCGTGCACGGCTGCAGATCGTGAGATCTGCCGTGGGGCAGCTTCAAGTTTTTGAACCTCATAGGAGTGTATTATTGGTGACATGGGGCGCCAGCGCGGTATTGGAGAAATAGGCAGCCATGCAAGTGAGTAATCAGGGGAACAGGCAGTCGAGCAATCACGCAACCAATCAGGCATGAACCCAAGCAGACAGACATTCCCGAAATCAGTGATACACGCAAGTTGAATGCACCGAAGGCAATCCCACAAATTGGAGACATGTTGGCGAACATTCGAGCAATAATTACCATCAAACAGGCAAACGACCACGAACGATTGCAATGACGAGCGCACGCCAGCAGACAATCGCATTCGCACTCAAGTTTGTCTTCGCGTTCGGATTTGTATTTGCATGTGGGTTTGAATCTTTTGTGTCGGATTCGGCTTTGGATCGGGGGGCGCCTTCTCTGGATTCGAGTTTGCATTTTGCGGGGGATGTTCATTTGAATCCGGATTCGCACTGGGACGTGAAGCAGCAATCTTTTCATGATCACGCGGCACCCCGAATATCCAGAATTTGATTTTTCCAAGCAGGCTTGTCCATAGGAGTCCCTGCGCAACGGCGGAGAGAACTGGTCCAGTCTGCCCCCCCTCAATTTTGCCCTTGCGCGGTCAAGCTATTCCTCCGCTATGCTGTTCCAATGCCTTCCTCTTTATCCGCATGGCTCCATCTGCTATGTCAATGACTTTCAGTCGCCATTGCAATGGCGTCCCATCATTCGTCCAACAATCGTCACAGACATCCGCATGGCTTCCTCTGTGTCTGCATCGCTTTCTGTGCTATCCGCATGACTTTTTCTTTATCCGCATGGCTTCCTCTGCCATATCAATGGCCTCCTGTGGCTACGCCAGTGGTGTTCCAACATCGCCCGGCAATTTACAACATCAGGCTTCGAGTCGAGTACGTAGGGTGGAGCAGCGCAGGATAGAGTAGAGAAGGGTCGACGGCCAGATTAGGGCAGAAAGCAATCTAGTAGTGTCGACTAAGGTACAGGCCTCGGAACAAATTAGCGAACACTCATGATGACACATTCATCTGTCAACGACTCCCCCTCCCCCCAATGTTCAAAGTTGGCGGTGGGTCTGATGAGATGCACTTCGACCGCAGTGTCCCCCGCGCGTGCCAACGTTGAGGTTGGGGGAGGGGGAGTGTTCAGTAATTGTTTCCCTCTACCGTAGAGTAGGCTTGGAGTAGGATGGGGTCCAGGCAGCTAGCTCGAGCCAGCCAGAGGGCCCCGCCCACTCCCACCCTCGACCCCGCAAGAAAAGAAGCAGGTGTGGCGCAGCTCGGTGTTGGGCCTTTGAGTGCGTTCCCACCTTGCAAAAGTCAGGGGGGAAAAAAACACACAGACACAGTGAATCGTCGATTCCCCAGAAAAAATGTGAAACTATGGGAAGTGGGGGGAAGACAGAAACCGAGAAACTATGGGAACATATGGGGAATCCTTTTATTTGTGTGTATTTATTTGTGTGTCCTTGGACCCCTTCACAGAACAGAAGCAGGTGTGGCGCAGCTCGGTGTTGGGCCTTGGAGTTCGTTCCCACCCTGCAAGAGGGTAGGCGCTCGCGCGTGAGGGGTGCGGCGAAACACAGACATGCGGAGGGCAGAGGCGAGGAGGGGGGTGGGGAGGAGGGGGAGGAGGAGAGGCCGAGGAGAGGAGAGGAAAGCAGGAACGCGGGGCGCCGTCTCTTCAAAACGGGCACACCACCACAGGATGGCTGGGAGAACAACAAGCATGCATCGGCCCCGCTTCCGACGACTTGGCGAAGGGAGCGCTGCGCGGGCCGCGCAGGGGCGGAGGCGGCACAACCGCCGATGGGCTCGGCGAGGGCGAAGTGCGCGCAGCGCAGACACAGCACTGCCAGACGTCGCGGCGAGGTCGCGACGTCGCAGACGCAGGGATCGAGACCTCCTAGGTGGGGTCGAAGTAGACGGGGTTAGAGGATTGTGCCGCAACGCCGATGCATCGGCGATACATCGCCGATGCATCGTCGATGCATCGGCGGCGACGTCGCAGACGTCGCAGCGCTCGGGCGAGGTCGGCATTTCGCCCGCTCTCGCGCGGCCCCGCTGCCGCTCTCGCTCCTCGTGTGCGCTTCGGCGGACGGAGCGTGCGCGCCGCGCCCGCGCGGGACACCCCGTCCGAGCGAAGTTGCTCACGGAGCTCTGGCGAGGGCGACACATCCCCCATTCGCGCGGCCCTTCCCCCCGAGGTCGGCCAGTGACAAAGGTGTGCCAGGCCGAGGTGGGGAGCTGCATTTTCATGCGAAATCTGCGCGGCGCCGAGGCGAGAGCGGCGTGTGTGCCTCGTCCTTTCATGTCCCGCATTCCACAACGTGGACGACATATTGCCCATTTTGAAGTAAACACATTGCTTTGTATTGTTTGGACAGGTCGGATGGGACCACCCAGATTAAGTTGCTATCGGCTGATTTTGTGGCAGAGGGGCGGTCTATTCCAACAGAGAATAAGGGTCGAGTAGAGTAGGTGCGGGTAGGGTAGGGTAGGGTAGGGTAGGGTAGATTAGAGTAAGATAGAGTAGAACAGAGTAGCGTAGAGAAGAGCAGGGTCGATGGCAGAATCGTGTCCATTATAATGGAGTATAATGGAGCAGACTATAATGCAGGAGTGTATAGAGGTGGGTAGAGTAGGATCGAGTAGAGTAGAGTAGAGTCGCTTCGGGTAGTGTTCGGTAGGGCAGAGTAGAGTAGGGTAGAGCAGAGCAGAGTACATGATGTTCGGGTATAGTAGTGTAGAATGGAGTCGAGTGGAGTAGAGTCCAACCAAGTCCAGTCCAGTCTATTAGTAGTCCAGTCCAAATCGTTCTACTCCAGTCCACTTCATTCCAGTCGTTTGATCATGTCCGAGCGATGGCGCAACTTGCGTGCTCCAGCCTAATGCCGGTTTCAGTTGCGCACCTCATTGTTCCACGGGCGAGTAATGCAATGTGCCAGACTGTATTGCTACAGTGTCGCCACACGGGAAGTATGCCCTGATTAAACATTGCTGCATGCGCCCGATGTCCCAAGCTGTATTTTGAGGCAACAGGCCCCAGAGACACCGCTACATGTCCCCCAACGAACGAGGGGAGCTTGCTTTATGTACTCTGCATCATTCTCAGTCGAGTTGGTTTCATTCTGTTTGTTTTGTTTTTGCGAGCATATTATCTGTCGACACAAATGGCACGGTGATCTTGTTTGAGGTCGCGAGGTGCGTGAGACCAGTATGATCTCCAGCGCCAGGAATTTGTCTCGCTTGTCTGTTGGGACGGCGAAGTGAACCGTATCGTCGGCTCGTCCTGAGAGCAGGTGCACCCAACATGTCACCCCCCGAGGCAGACCCAGAGATGATGCGCATACTTCAGCAGGATCCGGAGGCGCCGTGCATGGGGGGGTGGGCAGAGAGAAGTAAAAAGGTGGGCAGACCTCCTTCTCCTCCTCCTCCTGCACCTCCTTCCCTCCTTGCCCTCCTCCCCCTCCCCCTCCCCCTCCCCCCCCTTCCTGCTTTTTTGAATTGTAGTGGCAATTGCGCAGATAGAAGCGGCGAGGAAAGATATGTGATGTCAAAGCAGGGACGTAAGATGCCAGCGGGCAGTTGAGCTGGCAAATTGCTTCATGGCCTTCGGCGGCATGCGATGCTTGTTCACAGGTCATGAAGCGCATGCACGACCAGCTCGAGAAGAGCCGAAGCGACGGCGGCTTCCATGTGCAGCTGGGCCACGCGTGAACTTTGTTTGCTCTGCTTTCGTTTCTTTTCTCGTTCGGTAGCTGGAGTCTCTCTCAGCAACGCTGATGCTGATGTCTCTGCGAATCAAGTTGTTGCGAATAAAACAGGTCGTGCCATTTATGGGTCACCGATTTCAGTACTCCCTGCTCAATATCCATGTTATTTTGTGCACTTTTCCTGGTATCGGTTATTGGTGTCGTGTTCCCTGTGGGCACGAAGCAGGTTCCGGAGGGTGCATCGACGGAGCTGACGCCCGAGCTTGAGGAGCTGCTGCAAGAGCAGGACATAGAGCAGCTTGCAATGTAATGAGCTCTGTAGGCTTGCTTGCTGTTGCGGTGGAGGCAGATTGTGGCAGGGTTCACGAGTGTTGTTTGCTGGTCACAGCGCTCACGCCCACGTGTGAGTTCTCTTCGGACCGAATTCATATAATCTCTGACAGCGTTGGCTAAAGTGTTGGATCAGCACGGGCTTGAAGTGGCGGGGTGGTCGTGATTGAACGAGCCGTTGAAAATTAAGGGGGGAGTCGGAGGTTTGGTCGACGCGCCAACGCTTGGCATCCTTCTGGCAGCAGTCGCCAATGTTCGGGCGTGGCGTTGAGTCAGTCTCACCCTGGCCAGAGATGTGCCCCTTGCTGGGTCGATCGTCTCCTCTGGCCTGGCCAGAGATGGGCCTGCCCAGGTACGCTATCGTTGTACTGCCGACGCTCTCTTACAGGCAATGACCTACATTTCATTTTGCTTCCCAGCAGATGCCCCGCAGACAGATCTTGCTATGTAGATCCGCGTTCGCATGCAGATTTTTTACTGGCTCGAACGCGTCCCTTAAATTGGAAAGTCGCGGTATTTGTTGTTGTTCCTGGCATGGGCTTCGCTGGTAGAGCTCTCCCAGTCTTTGCCACCAAGGACCCCGAGCTGTTGAAAATGATCAAGGAGGGGAGGTCCCCCCACGACGAGATGCCGAGAGAACAGCAGGGCCAGCCCATTCCGCAGGACGGGCTTCTTCTTGCCGTTTTGGGTCGCGAGGCCACTGGGGCGACGAGGATAAGGATGAGGAGAGGTGATTCCTGATTGACGACATTGGGACCTCAGGGCAAAACATCTTAGTATCTAGTGCAAGCGAAGCCTGTGAGTCATTGCTTTAGCCATGGTCTCGCAGCAATGGCACCTCCTTGGCGCGCAGGATCTCGAACTCGCATAGTTTTGGCGTTGCGCGTCGCGGGCCACTGGCCATGTGGCATGCAGGTCGAAGACGCACCGCAAGATCAGGATATCTGATGATGATGATGATGATGATGCTGCTGCTGCTGCTTATGATGATGATGATGATGATGATGCTGATGATGATGATGGTGATGATAATGATGCTGATGATGATGATGATGATGCTGATGATGATGATGATGATGATGATGATGATGAGTTAGGAGGGGGAGGATGAGGAACAGGAGGAGCATGGGGATGAGTTGGACGTGCAGGATAACGAGGAACATACCGATCAGCCAATGGGCTACAGGTGGGCTACCAGGCAACGATCAGTTGGTGTGAGGAGTCTACACATTGGTGAGAAGAAACGTTTCGCACGGTCTTGCTCGCGCGTTCATCTGAGCACTGGCCATGTTTGTCTGTGTGTGCAGCTTCTCAGCATTCGCTACCAACGAGCGCAATGTGCTTGATTTCCCGAGCTGTTTGGCCAGCATTCGTGTTGATGATTCGCGATCGCAATAGAGACAGATGCTCTCGCCATTGGGGTTGGACACCACCGCACTGGCAGATCTGCGCTCTTCGCTCTCATACGGCAGGTTTACTGTGTCTGCGCCCGATGCGTTCGTTATCCGATTACTCTAGTGCATACTGGTAGACTGGTAACCCAAAGCTCGACAACAAGTCACAGATGGTTCTTGCAATCTGCGCCCCGCACGCGACATGCTGTGCCATACCTCACACGGAGCCTCCTGCTGCCCACATGTGCTAATGGGAGTTGTGGGTGCGCTCGAAAACAATTCCCACCGCATACCGGATCGATTGTTCGACCCTTCTCGGGCACGCCTAGAAGCCGCAGTCCTGTGTTCATCAGTTTGGGGACCACTGGCCGCACAGGTTTTGCGCCCGAAGCCCCATCATCGCAGTGCTCAAGCATTCAAGGGGCTGTGTAGGGCGTGTCGTGGTCCACGGTGGCATGTCAGACGATGAGACTTGGGCGCGGTGCCGTCTCCAGAGTCTGACTGATTGGCCCAACTTCTACTGAATCGGGGAAGGCAGCGAAGGGGCATGAGCTCACCCACTGCAGGTTGGCTGGCGCTTTGTTCCAACTTCGCTCGGCGTGCTTCAACATATTGTCGTGCAACGCTCTTTTGGGAGGAGGAGTAGTGGGAGCAGGAGGAGGATGAGGAGAAGGAGGAGGGGGAGGAGGCCAAGCTAGGTGCGCTCGCGTCATATCTGACGTCCAAACCGTCGCTCCCATCCCATACCATGGCGTAGATCTCCTCTCTATTCGCACAGTCGGATGTCGTAGTAGGGCGTATCATTACATGGCATAGCATGGCGGTGAAGATCAATGCGTAGCATGATATAGCATGGCGTGGTGACGCCCCAAAGTGGAGGGGCTTCTGCGGCCCAACCTATTCACGAATCGACAGCGAATGTGTAGTCACTTCTGATGATTCTTTCGGGCGGCCATTTTCTAGATTCTGGGACCTATTTGGAAGGACCGAAAAGCATGCCGTGGCATGGCAATGGAAATAATGACGCCAACGCGCAGCGGGAGCACGATTCGGAACGAGCGGAAGCGCGGAAATGAAGCCAGCGCTGCAGCGGGAGCACGATTCGGAACGAGCAGAAGCGCTAACATGAGGCCAGCGCTGCAGCGGGAGCACGATTCGGAACGAGGGGAAGCCCGAAAATGAGGCCAGCGCCTCAGCGAGAGCAACAGGTTGAAACAACATAAGCGAAAACCCAACTCGCCGACATCCTGTGTGGAAAAAAATACGCGAGGGGGGGCCGAACACTCCGAGACAGATCCCGCCACAGAATCAGGGGAGAGATGAGAATTGCATTACATGTTGAGTAATTGTGGAGGGGGAGGAGGAGCAGGAGGAGGAGGAGGAGGAAGTGGATGTGGAGAAGGAAGAGGATGATGATGATGATGCTGATGATGATGATGATGTTGATGATGCTGATGCTGATGCTGATGCTGATGCTGATGCTGCTGCTGCTGATGATAATGATGCTGATGATGCTGCTGCTGATGATGATAAGGATGAGGATGAGGATGATAATGAGGATGATGATGCTGATGCTGATGCTGATGATGACGATGATGCTGATGATGATGATGATGATGATGATGATGATGATGATGATGATGATGATGATGATGATGATGATGATGATGATGCTGATGATGCTGTTGCTGCTGCTGCTGAGGAGGATGATGATGACGATGATGATGAGGAAGATGAGGAGGATGAGTAGGAGGAGGAGGATTTGGAGCAGGAGCAGGAGGAGGAGGAGGAGGAGGAGAAGGAGCAGGAGGAGGAGGAGGAAGATGAGGAGGAGGAGGAAGAGGAGGAGGAGGAGGAGGAGAAGGAGGAGGAGGACGATGGAGAGGAGTAGGAGCAGGAGAAGGAGGAGGAGGTAGAGAAGGACGAGGAGATGCCTCCTCTCTCACACTCCTGCCCTGTCTTCCATGAGCCTTGGCGCCTCGACATCGGTTTGCTCTCGGCGCTGCTTGTGCCTGCGTGCCTTCTCTCCGCCCAGGCGTCGCCCTGCCTCCCAGCGCACCTCCCGGCCCCGTCTTGCCCGCGCCCTTGGTGCAGTCGACCGTTGACGAAGTAGTGCGATCGTCGTCAAGGGCCCTCGATTCGACTCTGCACGCGCACATGGCTTGACCGTCCTGCCTGCGACTTCTGCTGGTCCCAGGGCCGCTTTTCCGGAGGCGTGCAGACGTAAAGACACGAAGCCGTCGCCTGTGAGGGCCAGGGTCAGGGGGGTCGGGCGGAGACCCGAAGACGTGACGACTTGACGACGCGAATGTGTGGGCCTTCGACGCCAAGACGTTGAGACGTGAAGATTTCCCCCTTGGGAGCAGGGGGGTGTCAGCAGCCCGCGCAGGCGTGCCCGGCACGGGCCTGGTGGCCCCGTGGTGCGCTTGCCCTGCGTGCTGCCGTGGCGACACTTCGGTGTCGTTTCGTGCTCGGCAGCTTTGCGTCCTGGGCCTGCTCTGAAACTCATGCGGGGCTGCCTTTCTCGCGGCGCTGTGCTTGCTCGGGCCGCGGGCTGTACACTGTGCCTGAGGCAGCCGAGGCCGCTCTTTGCCTGATCCATGCCCATCCGCATCCCGATTTTCACCTCTGCCGCTCTCACCGCTTGCATCTGCGGTTCTGTCTCGAGCTGGATCTGCAGGATGGCCAGTTGGAGGAGGGCCAAGTTCCCCAAATGCTGACTCGTGCGCTCGATCAGGCCATCTCCTCATCTGCCCTGTTTGTGCAATGATTGTGCGTTCTTTCCTTCCAGCGTGCGAGGGTCCTTGACATGATATGGCGAACCGGGCATCGTTCGTGGAACGCGCACGGTCGGAGCGTTCGTTAAGGGATGTGCCCAGGAGGCTTCATACCCTGGATGATTCCGTATCCGGTGAGGGTGGTGGTGATATCCATGGCCCACCCACGATTGGAGTTTCACTGTCTTCCAGGCCCTGGATTCCTTATCCAATTGTTCCTTATCCCCAATGCCCTCACCGTATGCATGGCTTGAGTGTCACCAGCGATTCTGACGCCGCCGTCGGCCGTCCTCGGCAGTCGTCGTCGTGGTGGTCGTGAACCTCGTTGTCGGGGTCGTTGTCGTGGTCGTGGTCGTCGATTTCGTCATCGACGTCGACGTCGGAAAGAGCGCGTTCTGTGGTCGCTTGGAGAGGGGGGGGTTTGAAACCGGACCCCCCCCCCTCTCTCCCTCTCCTCGGGCCGGCGCGTGCGTCGGCGGCGGCTGGCGGCGGTGGCGGGACGACGACTTCCTTTTCTGGGCCGGCGCCAGCGCCTGCGGCGGCGGGCGGCGGCGGCGGGGAGCGTCGACGAGGACGGTGGTTGTGGTGGTGGGTTGTGGTGGTGGTGGTGGTGGCGGTGGTGGTGGCTGTGGTCGTGGAGGTGTGGTGGTTTGTTATGGTGGTGGTGGTTGTGGTGGTGGGTGGGTTGCGGTGGTGGTTGTGGTGGTGATGGTGTGGTGGTGGTTTGTGGTGGTGGTTTGTGGTGGTGGTGGTGGGTTGTGTTGGTGGCGGTGGTTTGTGGAGGTGGTGCTGGAGGCGGTGGTGGTGGCGGTGGTGGTGGTGGTGTGGTGGTTTGTGGTGGTCGTGGTGGTGGGTTGTGCTGCTGGTAGTGGTGGTGGTTGTGGCGGTGGTGGTGGTGGTGGTGGTGTGGTAGATTGTGGTGGTAGTGGTGGTGGGTTTTTGTGGTGGTTGCGGTGGTGGCGAGTTGTGGTGGTGGTGGTGGTGGCTGTGATGGTGGCTGTGGTGGTGGTGGTGGTGGCTGTGTGGCGGGTTGGTGGTGGTGGTGGCGGGTTGAGCTGGTGGTGGTGGTGGTGGTAGTGGTGGTAATCGTCGCTGCGTCCCCGCCTTCGCTGGCGCCGGCGAGGGGAGGGGGGGAGGGTGTTTGGAATCCCCCCCACCCCTTGGGCTGCCTGTGGTCATCGTCGCTGCGTCCCCCGCCGTCGGTCATGCTGGCGGTCGCCAGCGCTGGCGCCGGTGCCCGCGCCTGGGGGGGATTTCGGGAGAGGGGGGGGGGTTGGGGGGGAGGGGGGTCCCCTTGGTTCTGATCGACGGCGCCGAGTGTAGGGGGGGCCACTCCCAGGTTTGAAACGCGCCGCCGAACGTTCCCAAGGCAAGCGCCCGTGAAACGTGCTTTCTCCGACGTCGATGTCGATGTCGATGTCGATGTCGATGTCGATGTCGATGTCGATGCCGATGCCGATGTCGATGTCGATGTCGTCGTCGTCGTCGTCGTCGTCGTCGTCGTCGTCGTTGTCGTCGTCCCGTATTGTCTCGATCGTCCAAGCCGTTGTGAGCCACCTCCGTGTACGCGGCGTGCCATGCTTACACGTTCCTGCAGCCTGCCCTCCTGCCTCCGCGCTTACCCTGCAGTCTCACCAAGGGGAGGAAAGCATCACCCCGACCATCAGTGTGCTTGTTATTGGACAGGTGGACGTCCTCTTTGATGACGCACCTGTTGAGCGAATCACGAAAATTATATCAGCCAGCGTTGACTCCAAATAGATCGGAGGGCAGGAGGAGGACGAGAGGAGGATGGGATGAGGACGAAAGGAGGACAGGAGCAGGACGGGAGGAGGACGGGAGGAGCCAAAGCAAGCAAGCGCAAGCGAGCAAAAACAAGCAAGCAAGAGCCAGCGATCAAGTGCAAGCAAGCAAAGGCAAGCAAGAGCAAGCAAGCGATAGCAAGCACGCAAGAGCAAGCAAGCTGCATAGGCATAGGCATAGGCATAGACATAGGCATAGGCATAGGCATAGGCATAGGCATAGGCATAGGCGTAGGCATATGAGTTCGGGGGGAGGCATAGGCATAGGCATAGCCATAGGAATTAGGGGGGGCATAGCAATTATGGGGGGGTGCAACGGACCAACTAGTAGGGTTTTAGTCCGAACTCCTATAGGGCAAGCCTTTTTGGATAATGTTCTGAAGCGCAGAAGAAAACATGCCAATGCATAGAGTAGCGTATAAGAAAGTCATACACCACGCCACAGTACCAAAAGTGATCGACCAATTATGCCTGTCGCTCACAATGACAGCACTCATCTTCACGGCCCAGTTGACTATGGTGTCGTCCAGGGCCTTCGTGTTCCCTTCGCCTGTGGGCCAGAACAATCTGGCCTGCAGCGGGTCTCTTGGCTCCTTGCAGGTCCGACCCGCCGCGAGGCGAGGGTCGGTGCACAGCCAGGCGCAGTGCTTCAAATCGCCCGCCTGCTGGCCGCAGTACGGGCAACTTGGATCTTCTCCTTTGCTGACAGCAAGATGTGCCGGAGAGACCACCGCCCTGGTGAAGAGCCTGGCCGCTAGTGGCGTCGCGCGAACGTGCGCGTGGCATGCCTTGAGTCGTCTGGCGTCGTAAGCGATGGCAGAGCACAACTCAGAGTCGATGCGTCCCTTTTCTTGAAGAGGTCGAGATGTGCTTCCCGCCACCCCTCGCGCAGGACGTGGGCAAGCCGCTTCGGCGTCCGCCAGTCCTGGTTCGAAGTGCCCAAAGAAATCTTTGTGCCGTCAGGTCGTGACCAAGTCTAGGCAGCCTCGGTCTTTTCCCACCCCGTCTTGCTGAGGTGCTTGGAGAGGCTGTTGGCCAGGCCGCGCCTCTGCTCCCATCTGCCCCAGTTGTGCAGACTACATTTCCTGGCAGCTCGTGCGACAGCGGTGGCCGTCGCCTGCTGGATCATAATGTCCAGGTCGATCCGGTGCCCATGGATGAGCAGCCGGAGGGAGCGCGACGACGCTTTGGGAAGCTCCAGCGTCTGGGTGACGGCCCCGCTGATGGCGTTGATGTCCTTCCTCCTTGGCGCCCCATCGTGACCATTCCTTCCGAAGATCGCCGACACGGACACGCGGCAGCGTCGCGCGTCTCCCACGTGCATTGATCGACGAACAGCTGCAGGTTGTTTGTGGGCTCCAGGTGGGAGATGTGCGGGACAGCCGCCGGCATCACTGCGCACATCGCCATTGGACTGAAAGGGTCACCACCTTGCGGTAGAGACGTGCCCACTTTCTCTGGCACCGGGAGAACCGCCCCCCGCCGAGTACGAGCCAACCTTCCTGCTGAGACCTACAGTGCCGTTTTTAATACATGCTCCGCGTGCGGATCATGTATAGAAAATGTAAGGATTTAGCATTGAAAGGAACGATGAGTTCATGCATGAATTTATTCATATATTGATCATGTATTAGAAATCCTATAGTTAAAAAAACCTCATGAATAAAAAACTGCCCTGTACGATCATGTAGAATGTCATTGAGCAGCGGCGGGAATCCCAGCGAGTCGAAGACCCCGTGGACCCATGAAGGGTGAACGCAGTCAAAAGCCAAGGAGAAGTCCCAGGTGCCGAGGCGCTCGTCGTCCTCAGCAGCGAGCAGCATCTCCAGGAGGGCGTCGTGGGCCTCGGCCTTCCCGCGTGCTTCAGACCTCTCCGCACACGCCACCGCTTGGCACACCAGCTGCGACACGATGGCGAGCGGGCCCGAGCCGTGCTCTCCAGACCCGATGCCACGCTGAGGCCACACTCAGCGGTCTCCGCCTCTCCTTCCTCCTCCTCCTCCTCCTCCTCCTCCTCCTCCTCTTCCTCCTCCTCCTCCTCCTCCTCCTCCCTCCTCCCTCCTCCTCCTCCTCCTCCCTCCTCCTCCTCCTCCTCTCCTCCTCCTCCTCTCCTCCTCCTCCTCCCTCCTCCTCCTCCTCCTCCTCCTCCTCCTCCTCCTCCTCCTCCTCCTCCTCCTGGCAGGTGACACTGGCCAGGCGCTTGGTGGCCCTTCGGCAGGTGCGCGTGCCGCACGGCTCTCCAAGCAAGCGGCTGTACTCCCAGTCTCTTTCACACTCGTTGGAGAGGAATGTGAGCTCGGTACCCGCGGAGATCGCTTCCGAGACCTCCGTTCCGTCCCACCCGTCCGGGCCGGCTGCTTTGTCTCGATGGCCAAGCAGCGCAAACCTGGCGTCCAGCGCCTCAAGTTCGGCCCACGCGGTGGGCTGGATGTGCGGGAGCCAGAGCCTCGCTTTGTCCAGGGCCGCGCTCAGATCTGGGAGGTCCCTGTCCCACACCTTCCGCCACCTCGGCCGGAGCATCTCCAGAGCCTCCCAGTTGGTCTCGGAGGTCTTCCCTCCTGCTCCGCGGCCAGATCGTTGGGCATCTGGTCGTCCTTCATCCACCTACGGTTTTTTTTTCAGGATTCTCTGATCCTCTTCTTCCAAGCAGCAATCCTGTCTTGTGCATCGTCCTCCTCCTGCCTGGCGGCCATGCCCTCGTAGGACACGATGGTGGCGGCAATCTTCCTCGTCCTCTCCAGGGCAGGGCGGTCTGCCTCCCCTTCGACCGACACATCCTTGCAGTTTTTAGTGAGG